CCCCACCCGTGCCCAGCCCGAAGGAGAAGCCATCGCCCGTCGTCTCTCCTTGCCCACCACATCGTTTCATCATCCCTTTGGGTTTTCTTCCCTTTTATTTCAATTTATGCATTTCCTGTTTGGTTCTAGTTTCGTTTTAGTGCCGTTTCGCCCCCATTCCAGATACTTTTCCATTTCTTTTTCTTTTTTTCTTTTTTTTTTATTCACTCACTTCCACCTCTCCCCCCCTCCCCTCCCCTCCTTGGATTTTCCATTCCACAGACTCCACATCACTTCTCTCGATGTTATGACAAACCCTGGTTGATAAACAGTAAAGCGGGCACCCCCCTGAGGGGATTCGATTATTCCGACTTCCAGCTCTCGAGCGCCGAGGTAGAGTATGGGCTCACAGCCCCCAGGACCTGCTGACCGGCCGGAGGGCCGCTGGCACGGAGAAATCCTGCTCCCCTGCTTGATTTAACGCTTATTTGTGGTAGAGCAGCGCTTGTTAGCACCGCTAACGCTCGGGCTGTTAGCGTTTTTCATGGGTTTCTAACTCGGTTTAAGTAAAAACGTCAGAATAAAGCACGGCGGCTCACGATTCGTGGTTACCCGCTTTCAACCCGCAAGAGCCACGTTTATCCTCTTGTGCTTTAGAACAAAAAAACAAACACTTAAAAAAATAGAATAGCTTTTGAAAAGCGGCCGCGTTTGGCTTTCGAAAATCGCAATCTGGCAGCCGAGTTGAGACCCGAAAACCAGCTACAGCGCATGCGCCGTAACCATGTCGCCTTCGATTTTATGAAGCGCTTGCGTTTCGCGGTGCGTCCGGCGCTGCCACCAGCTTGACGCTCCCAGGAGGATGAATTCAGGCTGGGATTTTGATCTCCTAAAAATTTCACCCTCCTCACAGACCTCCCTGACCTCGGCACTCAGTGGTGAGCAATCCGGGGGAGATCTCGAGGGCTGTGCACGCCGGCACAAGAACCGGCTCTTGCTCGGCGGTGCTTTCACGCAGAAAAGATTTCTTTTTAAATCCTCAGAAGGGCACGAGCACTTCCCCAGTTGCCCTAAAATTGCCTGCTTGCTGCTGTTAACGTGTGGATAAAATAGGATCAAGGACGAGAATCGAAATCTCTGGGGATGAAAACGGTCCCGGCGCAATCGCGCGTCGACGGATTTCAATTCCCGCCGCTCGACTACCCCTCTCCCCCCGCCACAGCTCCAGTTTCAGCACATTTCAAGATTTCCAAATTTCCAAAAAATAAAATAAAACATCACCAGATCTCGAAGGATGGAGGGAAACCTCTCTTTAAACCTCAGTGGGAAGTAGCCTCTGGTATTGATGTGTCAGTCCGGGGATGCAGCTGGGCTGGAGCCCTCCCTGCAGCGATGCCCCTCAAGCCCCAGGGCGGGGAGGGGACACCCCCGGCCGTC